CTTTTAATATTTGCTTGAAGAAATAAAAGCACTCAAGCAGCCAGACTAAGTGCAGAGCAGCCAGCTCAAGGAGGTGCATTAAGGAGCCTGCATGAAAGCCCAACGTGTCTGTCCTTTCTGCAGCCAGGCAATCAGAACAGCCTGGCAATAGCAGGCACAGGACAAATCAAACTGAGCCAGCACAGCCAGGCACGGCACCTATTGCCCTACAAGTCACTTCCCACTAGTTCTGCCTCTCTGCAGCATTATATTTTTGTAGCCTTAATGGTTTAAGGACAGAGGAAGGGCATGGTTTGAGGAAACATTTAGCATTGTATCAGGTAGGAGGGATGTAAAAACCACACAGGCTTTCAGAAATACAAGTCCTTCTTCAGAACCCTGTATGCCCAAAAGCCTGTCTTTTCCAATTACACTGGCTTGCTTTAACAAAGAGACAGTATTTCTGCCAACAAACGTCCTGTCTTCTTTGTGCAGTGACAGAAAAACAGAGAAGAGATCTGCAGTACCACTGCAGTTTACAACAGCGTATGTCTTGTACCACTGAGACTTCTAAAGCCAAAAGGCATCATCATGGCATCATTCTACTCAGGATTTTTTAATTATGCACCAGTAACAAGTGTTCCAGCTGTGTCTGAAAGCAACATCTGATACAAGGGATCCATACTGTAAAGAGTCACATGCTGATTCAATTTTTCTGAATCATAATAAAAATCACATTTAACTTTCAAATCCCAGTTACATTAAAACAAAGTTTAAACAAACAAACAAACAAGTTTCCATGTATTGCCTTTCTGTATTCTTCCTAGTGACACTACAAACCAAGAAACACTACTGAAAAGGCTTATTTGTTCGGGTTTTTAAAATATATTTCCTAAACAAGCAATAGACTGCTGGAAAAAATCTGCTCTGCAAGATACATAAAACCTAAAAAAAAAAATGGGACAGGATAAAGTAAAGCTTTCTTTCTTTTTAAAACCAGGAAAAAAACATTTTTAAGCTCCTTCTACTCTAAACCAAAAAAAAACCAAGAACTGTGCAGACTTCCATAACTAATGTAGTATGAAAACCAATATGTATTGAATATTTTTAAAGGACAGTGTTCCTTTGAAAAGCTGGAACTAATTAATTTGACAGTCCAGCTGAGAAAGGTTTACATCCCTATCTACTAAAACCTGTGCTAAATGAAACAGGGTGGGTTTTTTGCAGCTATAGACATGTGCTTGGAACATTCAAATAATGACAAATGTAAATAAATAATTTCCTTTATCTTTACAGTAAAAAATGTTATATATGCTCAATAATGTATTCAGCTTGTTATTTAATTCACTGCATCAAATTTGCATATACTTGTAATACTTTTTAATGCTTCAGTCTAGCAATTAGCATACTGATTCTTATTAAATATATCAAAGATGTCTTTTTATTTAGCACAGTCAAAAGCAAATGTACACCTGCAAAACATTTTTTTAAGCACTAGCAATTTAAGAAACATTAAGTGCCATGAAAATTGATACCATCTTAATAAGATAGACACAACAGAAACCATGAGAAGAAACACTTACAATAGCACCATCCAAACAATTAGATTTGCAAAATATTTCACTGGAAGGAAAAATCTCTATAAGGCTAATTGAAACCTCCCAAATTAAGTTCGGGCTTTTTTTTCCGATTATCTTGCACAGAGCCCCCTGAAAATCTCTCCCCAGAAAACTCAAGATGGATCAGATGCTGAAAGTTGGTATCTCTGTAGCATTACAAAAAAAATACTCAGTCTGGCATGCTTCAGAGCCTACTGGTCACACATTCTGTATACAAAATGCAATATTTTCACCCCTTGCCACAGAATAAGTGGAATATGCTTATTTTAATTTTGTGATTCTCCTTAGTAACTACAAAAAAAGAGGTTGTTGCAAACTCTAACAACTAAGCAAAACAATTGTAGAAACACAAGTGTGGCTCACACCAAAATGCTTTTAATTCTCAATTATTGTTCAACATGATGAGTCATTCAAATCCAGCACTATAACATGCAAATCAGTGATTCAGTCCTGGGGATTCCTCATTCTTGTCTGTTCTCATAGGCTACAGGCATGTTATTAGAATCAAGAAAAGAAACCAAAAACATTTCAGTGAATCTCTTCAGCAGTCATAAAAAGATTGCAAAAATCCATCACAAGCATTCACCTTCTTGACTCACTTAAAAATAGTCTCTCATTCTTACCAGAAGCACAGCACTGCCACATTACCTCTTCTTCTAGATTTTCACTTTAAAACTGAAATACAATGTAGTGCTCTGCCCACAGCAGATTGTTAATTACACCCTAAATGGAAAACATTTTGCTTCTATATTGTCACTCTTCCATTCTGTTCATTTCAGCATTTTATACTCAATAATTGAACACATACTAATGTTGAAGTAGCACTGTATGACTGAAAAGCAATAAACTTCATTTGGCACCCTAGCTTTATCCCAGAGAAAAATACAGGTCTAAATCACCATTTACAAATAAACTCTGAAGTACGTATAAATCACCATTTCTGGGAACAAGACAATACAATATGCTTCTAAAACTGGCCAGCAAATCAAACAGACTCTTATGAGTTTTAAGTCAATCACAATCTAAGGGCCCACTCTGTGCAACAAACATGGCTTGAATCAGACACACGCACCAGCAAGTGCTTGCTTGCAAAATCAACATTTTCCATTATAAATGATGGTACACAATAGAGACAATGTTGTTGTTAGCTTTTTTTAACAGGAGAATAAGAAAACAAAACATTTACTTCTTATGCAAATAGTAGCAATAAGCACTGATGTTCAATATTTTCTTTCAAGAATCTTTCAGCAGACTGACTTAGAAGAAAAGGTGTTTTCTAAAGAAAGAATCTTGCTGTCCACTCAACTATATATCTTTAACATTCCTATCCAAATCAGTGGGATTCTCCTATAAAAGGATTAAATTGAGTAAACCTGGTGAATAGCACTGTGTAACACATCGTCTTGTAAAAATGAACTTTTACTTACAACGATGGTCAGAAATACACGAGAGCAGGGAAATCTGATAGCAGCCACAGACTCATCACAGAAAGAGAGTTCCACTAAAGCCACTTCTCTCTTCCTTCAGTCATATCCCACCACATCAGTTTTGTGTTAGAGAGACATAAATTGGCAGTCTCTACTCTGGTCATTGACACAATTCCTGCTGCCTGGAGGACTACTTACAGGAACACAATTCTTTATTAATCACAAGCTTGACCCAAACAACAACAACAAAAATATTCAAATAGAGAAGTTTAATTTCATTTGAGTCTCTCTCTCATGCCAATCACTGTTAGCTGAAAGGATGTGCAAACAGGATATCTAAATCCACACAGTAATGATGCAATGACCCAGAAAGAGACTCTAATGGCCAACGGAGTAAAGAAAGCAAAACCAGCCAAACCCAAAGGGCAGCATGCACATGAGCACCTTCTCCACTTAAATGGACACATACTGAAACCTAGTCTTGTATTTCCAAGTTGTGCAATAAGACTTCACAGAAACAGAAACTCCCTATATTGTTCCCAAAACATATATTACACAAAAGAAGAGAAACAAGTGCCCAGCTTCACTGAAAATTTAGATAACAAAATATGGAGAAATTAAAAGCGATTATTGTGTCACACACACTTAAAAATAATATGCAATTTGTAATTGAAAATTAAACAGACAACTAGCTGTCATTTAAACCAAAATACTGGATTCAAGTATCATTCTTCCCTTTGGGAAAATGTGGCTGTAATTTTTTTGAATGAAACTGATACAAATATGTACATTAATCTGTCTTTCATCTATACATATATAAGTCTGTAAGATTTACCATACACCCACAAACCTCCATACACACAAAGCATGTGGAAGCAATTACTTCAGACTAAGTATTTGATTGCTGCTCCCTGTTTTTGCTTAAAAGAGGATTGTTACTAATGTTACACAAGAACCAAAAATACACACTTCTGAAACTCTGGTGCAGCTTGGGTTGAAAGGGCAACATACATTCTCTGAGTCCACCCAATAAATAGCAAAAGAGACAAGAAAAAACACACTGTAACTTTGGTGTATCTTTGGTTTTCATTACAGTACTTAAAATCTCATTCCACCCACCAACCTAGCAGCAAATCTTTGATTTGAACAGATTCTTCTCAAAGAGCACATCCAAACTAAAAAGCAGAAACAAACCCTGTAGTCTAAGACACTTGCTAGGCTACTGGGCATCACCTGCACTTTCCATGAAGCATTATACGGAGAAAGAGATGGGTGCCAGGAAGATGGTAAAACACAGCTGAAATACCACTTTATACCAACAGATTTATGCCTTTCAGAAAACATGAAGGGAAAAGCTTTTGTATGATTGTACTCAGGACAATGCTTTGCACACTGAAGTTACGGCATTTTACTGCAAGGCACCTCAGCACTTCACTGAGAAGTCACTCTTGGTCTTTTTTCTAACAAAGTTTTTCCAGATACAACAGCTATCTCCTGTCACAGGCCGTTCCAGTTTGCAGCTTCTGAAAACCTGGCAGACTTCAAGCAAGCTTTTCTCCCACTGCCCTGCCTTTCCATTAGTCTTCCAAGCCAGACTTCACTACCGTGTGAAAGCAGTCAACTATCACAGCTTTTAACTTCCATTAACATGCATTTATTGCATTTGCTTGGAAACTGGCAGGTGCTGGGGAGTGAAGGAGTAAGTAGGCCAGACCAAAACAAGACACATTTCCAGAGAACCTCCCACCATCAGTCGTGTAGGCTTGAATTTGCCAGAAAAAATTCCAGTTGACCCAAATCCTATTTGGATTCGTCTTGAGCCTCCTTCACACCACTCTGTCAAATTCCAAGCAGACATACTTAAACAAAAAAAAAAGAAAAAAATAGGCAACCACAAAAAAAAATTCCAAAAAAAAAGAAGAAAAAAAAAAAGGTAGCTATCATTTTCTTTAGAGTGTAACACACATTTGCTTACCTCACTGTTGTGGCCCCTCAAATTGAAGTTGATTCTCTGAGGGGTGTTCCTGTCCCTCCTGCAATGGCTGGAAGTGAAGGTGACGCCTACAACTCCTCTGCCATTGCCCGTTGCCAACCAGCCTTCCTCATAGTACCGCCTCCTGCACACCGGTTTCTCCTTCTCACTTTTGGGGACTCTGCCTTTCCAGGAGAGGCAGAGGATGTTGGAATCGCTGCAAAGAACAGGCCCATGTTCCACTGCTGCATACATGCTTTTTTAAATATTTTATTTTTTGACATAAGAAAGTAATATGTCTAGTGCACAAAATTTAAATCAATTTTTTTTTTTTTTATTGATAAGACTGACCTGGATAGATCATTGAAAGGGAGGAGGATGGGGTCAGTGTTTATAAATATCCACCAAATGCATAGTGAAAAATTCCTCTATAAAAGATGATGGCAGTTGGCTAAGAAAAAGTAACACTTAAAAAAAAATTCAGGTTCATTTTTGTTTTGAGTCTGTAGAGTGGGGGTGCACTTATCCTTTGGAGAAACAGCTACTTCATAAGAGGCGCTCAAGAAATGGTTAAGTCATCTTTTTGCTCAACTTGATATAATCTTTATTCAGCCTGAGATTCCAGTTTAGCGTAATGCAATTCCAGAGACAAAGAGTTGCAAATGTGTAGGTTTCAAGTAACTTAAGGCTTTTAAAACTTCCTCCAGTCAGATTTTCTTCAAAAGTTCAGTTGCAGAAATTTAAACACACGCACATACATATATATGTATATACATGACATTCCTCTTTTCCAAGCTGCCCTCTGGCATATCTTTTCCATCTGATGTATTTCTGCTGCTAAAGCTGAAAGAGATTGCATAAAGGGAAAAAAAGGCACACAAACCGTGTGAAACAACAGACCCGAACTTGTGCAGGCACTGGTGTGCCAGGCCAGTTGGGAAATCCCTCTTGGTACTGAACCGCTCGTTGGACTCAAAAGTTTTTGCAATCCAAAGCCAATCCAATTTTCACCGCAGCACTTTTTTTCCACCAGAGACCCAACACAGCCTGAACTGTTTATCACGCTATCTTGCCTGCTTTCCCACTTTTTGCTGCCACACACGAATGAAAAAGAACCCCCTCTTCATTTATAGCAGAATCAAAAATGCTCTAAAGCTTTTAGCTTTCAAAGTAGGTAAGTTTGCCTCAGGTGAACCATGAAGTTCTCTCTCCTGCGAAACGGGCTAAAATGTCAAGCTGTTTTTCCTTTACTTTTCCCTTTTTTTCTGCTACAAGGAATCACAGACTTTTCATTCTACCATAAAAAACAAATGCCAGAATTAAAGCACATCAAGTAAGCACTCTTTCAAAATCTTCTAAAATTCAGGGAAGGAAGAAATATAATCATCTAAAAAAGAAAGTGAAGCAGCATTAAAAATCTGACTTCCTGGGTTCACTATTTCTCTAGGTATTTTCCTTGCTTGTTTGATAGGATCTTTCCTTCTTGATGCTTGTCTACAGCACAGATTCATAGTTCCAGACACAACATTTGCAGCTGTACAAGAAGGAAACATATGAAGTATTCCAATCGTTTTATTTGAATAACATTTATGAGCTCAATTAGCTAGTATTTATATCACACTAAGTGAAAAGAGGAAAAAGGAGAGGGAGAAAGGATATGCAAGTTTGATGACCTGGTTAACTCAAGAAGGATGGCGAGATTTGCTCAGTTCAATGCCCAGACTTGTCCCATAGTTCCTCAACTTATTTACTTCCAGTCATCATTGCTCAGCAGAAGGTCACCATTTATTGTCCATTCACAATCTACTGAGCCCAAAGCAAAACGTGCCGAAGACCATACATTATTCCTCTGCTGGAACTAAATCAGTTTCCTCTGCCCTCTTGATTCTTCTGTTTCCCTCACAGCTATCGATTTAGATTGTGGAGGTATTTATTTGGCTTCTTCTGCACAGAGGGTGTTTTTTCTTTCTCTTCTTGCAGATTTTTTTCACCCGTGAAGACCATGTGGAAAGCTGAACATTACTGGCAGGTGTCTTTCCATAGATTACTGATTCCTGTGCTGCGAAGGTGCTCCATCTGGTTATCAAATTAATTTTCATCAATTGCAAAGCTCTCAGGAATATGCCAGAGCAAGTCTACGTGATGACAAAAACATGTATGTTTTCATGTACATGCAGTGCACACACCAATCTGGTACTCAGAGCTGCATCTCCCTTTTCAGTTTGGGTGTGGTAATCTTGTGAGACGCCCGCTACTCAAAACTTGAAATCCCTGGATTCTTCCAACTCTGCAAGGCAAAGCACACACACATAAAAAGAAAAAAGTGAATAAAAGATGTCACAAAACAAGTTAAAGATACTGGTACTACTGTTACAGTAACTGAAGTATTATGATTAAGAATTTTATATTGGCCTCCTACACAGTGTATTATATATAGAAAAAAACATTACTCAGAACATACACATTTGGTATATTTGTATTTGATAGACACACAAAGACGAATTACAGAGTTTTCTTTTTCACTTCCAAAATTCCCAAACTTTTCACAATGGACGTGTATAGCTAATGAAGGGAAGGATATCCTGGGAAGGATACTTGGCGGAGAAGAGGAGGGGGAAGACTATTCCAAACACACTTCTACAGGGAAGAGCTTTCTCCTGGGCACAGTCTCTGGGGCAAAGTCTTAAAGATTTCACAACTCTCAAGTGAAGATGGGGAAGGGAGATGTTAGTGATAGAGCAGGCACAGGGTTAGACCCCGAGGCACACAAACAGAATCACAGAATGGCTGATCTGGAAGGGACCTCTGGACATCACCTGGTCCAACCACTGTGCTCAAGCAGGGTCACCTGGAGTCAGTTGCCCAGGACTGTATCCAGGCAGTTTCTGAATATCTCCAAGGATGAAAACCCTATGAATTCTCTGGGCAACCTGTGCCAGTGCTCAGTCATCCTCACAGAAAGGTGTTTCCTGATGTTTAGAGAGAACCATCTGTGTTTCAGTTTGTTCTCACTGCCTCTGGTTCTGTCACTGGATAGCAGCATTAAGAGCCTGTCTCTCTCATTTAATTCCGTCCCATCAACTGTACACAAGAAGAAGATCTCCTTAAGCTTTTTCTTCTCCAGGCTGAAGTCTCAGCTCTCAGACTTTCCTCCCAGAAAAGATGCTCCAAACCATGAAAATACAGTACTGAACTTATCAGTCTCAAAGAGACTGGGAAGATTCCTCCAGGGCTTAAACTACTGCTTTGAAGAGATCTAAGGTACTTCAAAATTAAAGCTTTAAAGTCTGAATCAATACAGATGAATTTAAAACTATTCAAATCCTGCTTAAATCTCCATTTAAAAAAAGGGAGAAAAATTCCCCAAAGTCAATTTTGTACAGAAGAGTGTATACAAATAAAGCACAAGAGACCAAGCAAAAGGCCATTCAGGATATTCCAGCAGTTGTATCCAAAGTGCACACATATGCACAGTTATTGCATCTACACAGTTACTGCTAGAGAGCTCATTTAAATTCAGAGCTGCATTCATAATATTCATCAGAGCTGTAAAAATGGTCTTGTCTTTATTACATAAAGCACTATACTAACCTCATGTTTCCTGTAATTAACCACTTATTTCATTCTAGCATAGACATATTACTTAATTTTGTTTAAAAAAAGAGACTAGATAAGAAAACAAATTTACAGACACAAAGGCAAAGTTGTAAAGTAGTTTACAACACTACACAGTTGGCTGACTTATCAGAAGCACTATCCCTGAGATTTGGTGAGTCACTGCCAGACCTCTTCAGCACTACACCTCATTGAAGTTTTAAAAATAATGGCTGCTATTAATTTTCATTTTCATCATGGCAAGATGATGATATGACAAATGTCACCTTTCCAAATTTCTGGTGCTTATCAATTACAGCCCAGAGAAAGTTCATATATAGGAAAACACAAAAAAACTTTCAGAGTACAACGGTTTGTAGACAAACTTTATCCTATAAGCAAACTTGATCCTCTGAAGGATCAGTGCCATTGTTTCCATACCCACTGACATCTTCCTAACAGACATCTGCATTCAAAAGTTGACATTTTATCTTAGCAGCATGAGTATTATGATGCAAGCCTTTACTAATCCTACACAGAAATAAATAAAAAAATGTTTACTGAGAAAACAAAGTCTCTGAAATATCAGAGCAGAGATAAGCATTAAACAGAATTGTTTGAACTGTACAAGAATCATGAGTTTACAAGTGGATTTTAAAATACAGGTAACTATAGATACAGTGGCTTTGCATAAAATCTGTGTGCAACTTCTGTCCTTATTCACTGCATATAAGATTAACAAGGCTGAGAAAAGGACTCATCTGCATCTTGGTCAATAACCTTCTCTCACCTTAGTCCCATTTACCATCACTTTCAAGATCAGACAGACCAAAAGCTTCTGCTCTTAAAAATATCCTAACTGCATTAGAAATGCTGGTCAGGGAGAGATGAAAATCTAAAATAACTACAAAAGTTAGAAAATCAGCCATTATTCAAATACTTTCCCAATACAATACAACCTATGAGAATATTTTACCTTTGAATCACTGAGGATCGACACTATCTTTATATTCAGAGACAAGAAAAAAAAAGACTTTTAAGACTATAGTATCAAACACTCAAAATACAGGCTGAATTAAGATTACATATATTAAATATTAATGCTTTCCATTCCCTTCTTCTTCATTTCCATGCACTCTATCTTTCCTAAGAAATAACCTAACTAAAAGATTCAAGTGCTAGTCTTCCCTCTAAAAAAATCAGTAATTTAGACACTCCCTTTCTGCCACCATTACAGCAGCCTCACAGTTCTGCTCATTTTCATATTTTGAAACCAAGCTCTTTGTCTTGTTTTTTCCCATCATGGAACACCAGGGTAATGGCTTCCACCTGTGTTGTGAAGTGTGTAATAGCAGAGGATAAAAAGCATGATAGAAGAGCTGGGTGTTACCTGCACAGTCCGACTACTAGTCCAAAGTCAGTTTGGGCTCACCATACAAAGAGAGCTTGGCCTTCCAGATGGAACTCATTCTAACTAAATTTTTAACTGAAGATTGTTTAAAATCAAATTTTATGCACCTTTCCTTCCACAGCAGTGCAAGGACTAATCACAGAAGTGCACCACAATTTCCCAGTGATTTTGCTGGGAAATTGTTTCTGACACTACTAGGACAATAAATATCAACGAATTCTCTACTTTCATTCTTACTTAAAACATAGTTGAAAATATCTTTTCTCTGAATTTTCCCTTTAACAAAGGGAGATGCTACTTGAACTCATCCTTTAATACTGTTGAGTCTAAGCCCAGTGATGTAAAACATTTAAGTACAGACACCTAATGAGACAAAAACATATTAGACCTGTGACACAGGAAAGCAGGATCCACAACTATTTTATTTCATTTTGCTTTGAAAGCATAGCTCTTCCCAAATGCAAAACCCAGCAGCAAGTTATGTTTCTGCATGACAGAAAATTTAGGTATTAATTTTTAAAAATGAGCTTATAAACATTAGCTCTCTTATTGTAGTGTCAATATTTAATTCATCATTTTTATCTTTTGTTCCTACTAACTTATCCTAAAAGGGTGTTAAGCCAGTTGGACAATCAGAAAAATATTTGTTTGTCCTCATGTGTCTTTCATTGAGGTGTCTCTTTTGTTGACAGAAAGAAGCCAAGCACAGTCAAATGTACCAATACTGCAGCAAGCTCTTCAGCATTTCATATTTATTCAAACCCCTACTCTTCAAGGCTGCAGAGCAGAGAATCTGAAGGCAAGGATAAAAGGGGACTGGGAAGGGAAGGAAAGCAAAGAAGGAAAAGTGAAGTGTATACACACTATTTGTGAATTATTATCTCCAAGAAACCAAAAAAAATAAAGACTCACAGCCTGCTTTTGGAAGATTCTGACGGCCCAAACATCTTAAGGAAATAAATAGAAGATAAAGAGCCTGAAAAGACTTCAGGATTTTTCAGCCTAGCCAGATTCCCTACCTGCCAAACCTGCATAAGGTGAAAGGAAACTGTAGTTTTCCCTCCCTTTGCAGTCTAAGAAGGAAAAAATGTATATCAGTGTCCATGAAGATAGCAAAGTATTTTAAAAGTGCCAGCCACAACTGGTTTGGCACAAGCTGATGGCAGATGACCCCACCAGATATCAAATGGGGACTGTGGCAGCAACCTCCAAGGTCACTGCTGAACACTACAGAACAAAATTTACTCTATCATGTAACAGAGTTACTGTATTACAGGCTAAATACTATAGGGATAGAAGCTGGTAAGAGGATACAATTTGTTGTTTATTTAGTCCAATCTCTAAATTAACAAAATTCATTAAACAATCCCATCAAAAAAGTGAAAGAAAATTATTTAACAAGAGTAACTACTTTCCTAAAAAGCCTGAAATAAAAATCATCTGGCTTGGAAGTTAATCTCACTGAAAACTTACTCTCCAAAAAAAGCAACTTTTAGATTTTAAGAGAGCTACCCCTCCTGAACTCACCATGCACAAAAGGGTTAGGAATTGTGACAAGGAATTTCAATGAGTTTGAGCTGTGCCCCGAAGTTTTTGCTCTTCTAAGTAGAATCAATCCCTGCTACAGCCTCAGTGCTGTCCCACATTCAGGCGCACTGGCAAACTGGAAAAGGTACAAAACAAGTGAGAAACAGAAGGGAAGAGTACCTGCAACTAGTGTTGCCACTTGAAGACTATTCATAATAAAGTTTGGACACAGAATATTTCCGAACTCAGGGGACTGTCCTTAGAAGAAAAAGAAGCAAAGTCTTTCCTCTTGAGGATGAATTTAAGATGGTTTGGATGTCCTGGAGCCAAAGCTACCCATTAGCCAAGAAAATATGCCTCATTTTCAAATTAACAGAAGTGAGGTGAAATACTCCAGACAGGTGTTGAAAAAAAACTGTTTCAGGAAATGAAAATGCATAAATAACACGTACTAGCCTTTTAAAGAGTTGGGAGATTTACACCACTGAAAAACAGAACCAAACACTTCAGAGATTCAAAGAAACGTGAAGTGTGACCAATATATTTCTGAAACTTATAAGTGTCAATCTTCTTTCTCAAGAAAAGGCTGCAATCCTCACAGCACAGAAAAGCCCTAGACAATGTATACTTCACCAGGCACTTCATCAAAAAGTGGCAACAACTGTGTCTTACTAATAATAATCCAAGACCTTCATGGGAGGGCGCCCCAGCTCTCACCATCTCTTTTCCATTGAACTGACTGCTCTGACCTTGCCTGTAATTACAGAGCAATTTCTTTCCCGTAGGAACATTCTGCAGCCTGCAAACATCCCTCGAGTCTGCAGCAGTTCCAGCTAGTTCCTAATTATCTCCAATATCTGCCCACAGGCTCTTTAATACTTTCTTATGAACATACATTGAACTTTCAATATTCTCCTCAAAAATCCCAATACACCTTTGTATGTGACACACTACCACACTGGAAACAAACAATAACATTTAAAAAAAGAAAGGAAGGGGAGATGAAGCAAAAACAGATGTCATCAGTTTTTAAAGTTCAGAAGAGCCTCATAAACAAGAATTATGTCTTTTGGACAGCAAGACATATTTAAGTCAGAAACCTGAGAATTGCTGGTGCAAGTGCAGTGTGTGGCAGCAGAGAGGGAGCTCCTGGTGATGCATCTCACAGGTGTGAGATGGATTGTGAGATGTGGGTGTGCATATTTAATAAAGCAAAAAGACAGGAGTTGCATTTTTCAAACAGCTTGGGTTTCTCAGTCTTTGGGATGAAGAACTGAACTCTAGTCCTGGCTGTCCCTCAAATGTGCTGAGCTCAAGATTTCAGGCTGGTTTGAGGACCTGCAGTCACCTCACCACCACCACTCAAGAGGTCCAGAAGCAGATCAGGGATACTATGCCCTTGCAACAAAGAGATGCAAACCTTAGGAACAGCTTTATTTCCTCCCTCTACCTGTCCTCTTTTGCTCCAAGTTCCATGTTTTTTCCTCATGGCCGTGTCAAGATCTCTGGGTTAAAGGAGGCATATAATAGAATGGAAACTGACTAACTCAACGAGTGGTTGCTTTAGAGGCAACCTTGATAATGAAGAATCACTGGAGAAGCCTTTGTGAAAGTCAGGAGCTTTAAATAAATGCTTGGAGCAAAGCAAAGACTTCTGAAAGTTACTGTTTCACTACAAAGACTCAAGATCAGCAGCGTACAGGTGTGCCCTGTTAGGTGAATGATGGTTTTGATCTGCTCTGTATTAATATGCCAAGTGCTGACTGCTCACCTGTGCAGACAGAAGCAAGGAGGCCAGCAAGACACAGATGTCCACCAGGTACAGTCATGGTCTGGTGGGTGAGCTGAAGGCAGGAAGGCAGATCTGCACCTAGGTAAATTCACAAAGCAGTCTGGTGCCCAAGTGGTTTTATTTTATACATGTCTTCACAATTCTCTCTTCATGCTGGCCCAGCTCCTGATAGACATATGAAATATGTGTATTTCATATAAATATGAACATGTGATAGTAGTTATATTAAAATACAAAATTTTGAAGTGGGGATAAGAAATAGCAGTATGCTATTCCTCATGCATGACTGGGACACTACAACCTTTCTATTAAGAAATCCATAATAGTTAAAAATTGCCAGTTACAGAAGTATTCAGTAGGAGGATGGCTACCAATGGCTGCATCTTCTATTTTCTTAAACATGAAAAATCAATGTGTTAAAACGATTGCAGATGAAAATGAATGAACAGAAAAAGGGTTGCAAAAACTCTAGAAAAGTATATTCAAGGAGCACCACGAGTTATTTTAAGTAGGAATTCTGAATATTTCATTCAATGCCCTCTGTACAACTACCAGATAGTGGTTGCTTCTAACTCTGATCTCTACAAAATTATGAAAATGCTGTTCCATTGAACAAGTATTCATGTTTCATCAAGAAAGTCAACAAATGTTGTAAATTAGTGTGGGTTTTTTGAGGAAAAGTAATATTCTCATTACTTGGTAGCTAGTGCTATATTTAATTTTATTCTGTTGTTTTTATCCCCAGGAAGTTATATAAATGAAGTAACTGTCAAACTGCTTGGACCCCATTACTTCTCTACCTCAACAGAAAACTCTCAATGCCTCTTTAAATGCACCTTTACCTAACCTATACCCAAAAGGGATTTTTTTTGTAAAGCTCAGATTCAAAATCTACAAAGTATGAGAATCAAAAGGGAAGATTCATCATCACAGTTAAATCTGTATCTTTTAGATGAACACTCATACAGAGCTCATGCATCCACATACAATTAAAGCTAAAGTTATGCATGACTAAACAAGAGAAAGAATGCTGGTGTGGGTTTTTTTCCCTTGTGTTCTTCTTTCCCACTGCCAAGTTTCACCTTACAGCCCTTCCCAAGGAACACAAGGATCTTCAGAGCAAGACAGCAAACTTTTCAAAATAGCCAGAGGAAAGATTGATTTGGTTGAAGAGTATCAGCTTCATACATTTTGTACTTCATTTTAGAAACGTGGATTTGGGAAAGCAATATGATTGCATTCAGTAGATGATGTGCTGCTTAGCAGACAGCTTCTGCTAAATCTGACAAATACAGGTCAGAGTCCTGCAATCACACTTCCCTCAAGCATGCTTTGCACTTTCTAGACAAAAGTAATAATAAGACAAAAGTAATCTGAGGTCATTTCCTAACATAACTTTGATGTAAAATTTTATAGTTATCGTAGTTACTTTTTTCCTTCTATGCCTAAGACTACTATATATTTAGACAAGCCTATTTCAGTACAATCTTGTTTTTGTCAAATAAGTACTTCACAAAGTATCTCCAGAGCTGTATGAAAGCTCAATACTTACCAGTTAAGAGTTTTTGGAAGAGGTGAAAAAGCAGAACAATCAGAGGAAAAAAACAACATATCATCCACTCTGATAATTCCCTCTGTAAAACTCAACATCTGTACCGAAGGTTCAACATCTGTATTAAAAAAGCCTGCTTGCAAACTGTGTAAGGAGAATTCTGCTGCTTTTTCTGGTAAGCAGCTTGGCAAGGTAACATCATAATCTTGCAGTGTCAGTCATCCCCTTGAGCTTACAAAGTCTATTAAAACAAATTACATGAAAACATCTTTTTCAGGATTTCAATTCAGTAGCTTAAGAGGATCAGGATATTCCAGTTCCTTCTTAGATTCAAGGAACATAAGACAGTACAGTACTTCAGTGCCTAATGCTGCATTGACACCTTAATACATTCTCCATTAACTGTGTATTATTCACAGAGCACATAATCACAGGTTACTATGAGGAAACTATTTGCTTTGTTGTTACCTCTATTAGCTAGATTACAATGAATTCAACAGTTCAGCATCTGCTTGAAACTGACATTACATTTGATCTGCAGCAAATGGATGCACACAACAAACATTAGAGAAAAAGGTTAAAACACAGTATTATATAAAGTATTTTCATACAATGCTTCTGAAATTAGGTAACCTAATGATATTGTAAGAAAATTCTCTCCAAATAACTAAAATTATATATTACTCTTCACTTACTCTTCTACTGAATGACAGCATGAAAGAACATACAGAAATTACAATATCAGAATACAAAATTTCTATTCCTGGCTATTAAAAGAATTAAATACCTAAATTAAACATGGGGAAATCTAGTTACTCAGTGACTCTAAAACCTCAAATATTAACTGACAGATGCTGATTTCATTGGATTGTCAACCTAACAACTCACTACTTGGCTGCTTGATTAAAATGCTGCAAGACTGCAAGATAAAATTTTTTTTAAAAAAAATCTGTTATACTTAATATATATTTCACAATCATATGTTTGCCTGAAATCAGTCTGTTTCTTTTCTAAAAAGGCACAAAACAAGATTTACAATACATGTGAATATACTGCCTTGTTTATACCTGTACACTGTCACAGCAGAGTTGTTTTACTGCTGCTGCTATTTCTCCTTACATCTCCATTGCAATGTATGTCTCTTGTTAAAGGGGCTGTGTAATGCTTGTGCCACTGGTCAAAACAGAATATGGAAAGGTTGCTAGGATTATCTAGGAAGAAAAAAAAATAATAACCCACTCACGACATTCCCAGGATGAGGAATTCAGTGTAATTAATAAAACCACAAGGCCGTAAGACAGTGCAAAGGGATGGCATACACCATTCCAAGAATGTTAATAACCCTGACATGGAAGTGAGTGGATGAATGTTCCACAGCAAGCTTGCAAAATGCAAATCTCTAAAGGCAATCATCATGTAAGAGCAAATAATTTTACAAATTAATGCACCTGAGAGATCTGTAATATGTCAGTTTAGTTTTTATCCCCCACAGTGTCAATACCACAGTAATCCTACCAGAATCTATCACTAAGAATTGGAATAAACAACATTTTACTGATGGATAACCCAGAACACAAATATTCCATTCTTTCCTGTCAAATCCCTACTGTAAACAAAGTCCTTAAGCAACTTAGCCACAAAAAAATCCCTCACAAATGTGACATTTAAGGGGCCTGCAAACAAACCCAAAATTTCTTTCCCCTGGTCTCAGGACTGATCAAAGCATAGCACTAAATTTAGGAAATCTCTAACACTTCTTTCTTGTTCCTATCCATGTAGACCGAGATATTCTACCCTCCGTATTCTAAGACAGCTACAAATTATCTGCAAAGCCTATCTGGTCTGTTTCATTATCATGCATATAATTTTTTATTTCTATTGGATAAGTAGGTAGGAGGTATTATTAACAAGTTTCATGGACTTTTTCCCCCCTTTAAGAGCAAAATGTCAATAAAATAATATAATTTCCAACCCCTACGATTTTGCTTCAAATGCTAATTGTAGTTAAATACTTTCTGCAGTCTTGTAATCAATGTTATCAAAAAAGTCTGGGAATGTTATGTTATGTTGATTAAAGCTTGAGAAGCTAGAGCTCACATCCAAAAAAAAAAGCAGTTAAATTGATTTTTCAGTTGACTGAAACCAGTAACATTGGTTTTTATAAATCCAACTCACAAGCTTTATTTTGGACTTGCATGTTTACCAATTTTCATTTCAGATGAAGAAATCCATCCCACAGAAAGCAATATGAACCATAAAATGAAGCAAGACACTGCTAGATTCTGAACAGACGCACCAGAGCAATGCAGAGCTGCAGGGATCTGATTACAGACTATCTCCTGCCAGGCAGTCTCCCACTGGGATGGGGAGCACATCTGCTGGGATGTTCTACAATGAAACAGTGTTTCTTATGTACAGCCTTACAAATGTTGCAGGATTATTCCCTCTCAATGCTTCAATGCTTTATCAAAATTTTTAAGCAGTGCATAGCAAGGCATTCACTGTTTAATAACATTCCCTCATGCAATGTGCTCTGTGATTCTTGGATCTGCTGCTTTCCTTGCAAAAGCCAAAAGCCAAACTACAAAGCAATTGTTCTGGGTTGATAGGGAATGTCCTTTATTGCTGCTTCTCAGATCAGCACCCAGATCAGCAAGAGCTCCAGCAGACGAAAAGCAAACCCAAGCCTATCTGCTGGAAGACCACATGCAAATGCAGAGAAAATCATTTCCACATTTATTGTTTCTCTTGCTCTGAAGCAGAGCTACAAATAACTGACACCTCACCCATTTTCAAATGAAGCTTCTATAATTACACTGTTATGCCCTATGGAAACACTACTGGGTTTCTCATAGCAACCTTCAATGACTCAGAGAGCCCTGCTCTTACCACAAAATTGCTAAGAGCGCTTCATCCATCTTCAACAGAAGAGCTGGTATGTGACTGGCAGAGTCACCACCACCACTGGCAATCCAAAACTTTATGACATCTTGTCTCTTGAGAAATAAAGTTTCATGGCCAAAGTAGTAGTATATTCCATATACAGTGAGCAGGATTGTTCCTATAAAATCTCTCACACCCCATGATGCCTTGAATGCACACACTACAGAGTCTTTTTAGCAACCCTGTCAGATAGATAAGTACAGTTCCTTCCCAAAGGCTGCAAGACAGCAAACTGTTCAAAGAAGCCTAAGCTGTAAAAAGACTTCTTAATCTCTGATGCCTCAGTGACTCACTCCAGTTTCCCTTCCCAGATCCACTTGGCCCTCATCCCTGTTTTCACTGCCAGGTGCCTGTCCAACATCTCCTTGGGCAGACTCAGTTTCTTACAACACCACAAGACAAATATTTTAAGAAGTGAGAAATATTCTGTGGCTTTAGGGATGTGGATTAAATCACTGATGGGTCAGGTGAGTGTTGGAACTGCAGCTAAGGAACAGGCACAAGACTGAGGTGCAGGAAGGTTCAGAAACCTGCAGAAACAAAGATGTTGGCTCAGCTCAGCTGCATCATAAAATCTCACCCCTGGGACAGAGCTGGAGCAACTTTCTTAATACTGAAGGGAAATACAGCATTCTTCATAAATA